AGAGATAAGGCAAACGCTAGCGTCTGTCTGAAGCTCTGAAGGTGTGGCCGAATAATTTGAGACAGACTCGTATACGGTGATGATGATTCGAAAACGCTTAATCAGTAATCAGAATAATATTACATATATATAATATATAATATATATACGTAGCTCGACCGCGGACGCGGTCTGACCAACAAATATGCGCATGCGCACTAACAGGCACATCTTTCTAAACGCGCGCGTTGCCGCGGCGCTATGTATCATCCTATTCTCACGTTCAACTTTTCGTTACATCCATTTTTATCTTTTTTATAATTTTTGTTTCTGGATTCATCATTTTTCGCCCTGTTACCGCAGCCGTTGAATTATACCTTCAATATCTGCCGCTAAGGAAAGATTCGCTGTAAAGCGGCAGCGAAGGGGTTACACGGAATATAGCTGATAGTTAGTTAATTAATTATTAATTTATATTAATTGATAATTAGTAATTAGTAATTAGTGCTGATATTAGTATAGCAACACGTGATTTTGAGCAGTAAAGTGAGTAAATTAGATTATAGCTTGATTTCATTTTTTCCATTTAGTTATTGCATGACATTACAACGGACCAAGCACATTTAAGAAATCCATGCCGACTAATTCCATACCGGATGTGAGTCTGTTTGCCATAGAGTTACAAATTATCGTACATGTCTAAGACGTTTTTGACATAGTTGCCTGACGAGCAGGTTTCTGTATAGACCAACTAGAACAACCTAGGCGACCAACCATCGTAACTGCAACGATGACGTGACTGTCGTAAGCTCAGGACACCGTGTTGGAAAACTGCCGATATTGAACGCGGACGGAAGCTCTCCGCATCTAGGCTAGCTGCTCATTACCTTCTTTTCTTCCTCGCAGGTAATGATTGGAGGAAGGAACCGAGAATATCTCAGCACAGGTGGCCAAAACAGGCGCGCGCTCGCCGGCTTCTTGTTTCCGCCTGTAAGGACGCAAGCAGACGCCATCGTTAATAGATTATCGATCTGGGGACGTGATCAGGGACAATACAAATGGAGAATAGACACTAGCTAATAACTTTAAGGGCATATTTATTAAAAGGATTGGAATGTATTGAAGATTAAAAATTAATCATCAAAAATAACAAGTTTATCTAGTATATATCGTGATGGTCAATGCTACATAGATGTAAGCAATAATACGTATTGTAGTACGTATATTGTGAATATCATTACTACGCATGCATTTCACAGCAGTGTTGTGCATACCTGTGACACAGCTGACTGCTACACCAATCAGTGTACATGCTATGACGCTGATCATCGCGTACCACATGTACGATATCCTGTACATATAATTTCCATTTGCGCTCTCTACTATACTCGGGTTTGTAGCTATAGCTGTCATCTGATTTACATCCCTAAATATAGCAAGAAATAAAAAACCTATGGTTAGACATAGCAAGTCCGCTAACATAATGTCATGAGACCAAACTCATCTACACCTATTTATTTTTCTTATTTATTTGTGAGATATAGCCTAGTCGTTTTAATGTACGGGAAAAATGAAACAGAACTGCTTTATATAAATGCCATGCATCGATACTACTCCAACTACTCGTACAATATGCGGATAAATGATCTAGCTACTATTGTATTAAATGATATGCACCTTCTTTTTCTAATAAAATTAATATGATACTAAAATAATGTCTTAATAACTATTTTATCCATTGACTAGTTAGTGTAATTCAAACGAACTAATAAATGGACTCCGGATCTACCATTTAACAGAACAAACAAGGTTTATACATAAATGGTAAATCTGCGGACAGAAAACTCCGCGTAATCACATATATACCAGTTGTCGGCCGTTGACAGGATGGGGGCAGAGGCGTTCATGACGTCACTGATGTTGCAGCCATGCGCAGACGTAGGCAGAAGGTCAGCAGTGTTCTGCAGTGTCATGCCTCCAAATCCGATCCAGAATATGATGGCCATTGAGCCAAGCAGTCCGGCTATGGCGCCCTGTATCCGCGTGTGAGCACAGCAAACAAAACGCTGTCAGAGTGCTAATTTGTGTGTATCTTCATTCGGTGCACGATGTGTGCGATGATGTACTAAACCATGGTAACCGCGTGGACGTGTTGGTAGAAAACGTTCTACATGTTATTTTTACATGCAAAATGCACGGAATTAAGACTACTCTGTTTGCACTGCGGTGAATTTATAGAGGGGTAATTAATTTCGTCAGGAGTGAACAATAATTAGGAGCCGCTATATATTATCGCAGGAAGTGAGATAATAGCAATAGAGATAACACCGCCCAAAACAAATATGAAAGCTGCTCTTTGTGGCATCATAAGCGTGCCAATGATCGACAGCTATAGCTGTGTTTATTGGTAAAACCAGGTTTGACGTTTGAAGCTATAACTACATAACGAGAAAGGTATCGATACACAGTAAAATGTGAGGACAGAGTTGGATGTTCACGCTATGTTCAAGATGTCATATTTTATTGGAATTTACGTAATAAATCATAAAGTAAATTTGTGCAATAGATATGTTTGAATTTCTTTGTGTTTCGAAGCGATGTCATACTCCTCTCTATTCATGCCATGCCCTGAATATTATAATTATATGTATAATTTTTAATTATTAACAATTATATAATTAATAAGTTCATATAAAATATTATAATCTATATATAATTCACTGCCTGATATTAGTTATATACGTCCGATAGTTGACTATAGGGCAAGAGCATACCTAATTGTAAACAGGGCCAAGAAGCGGCCACCCACCATCTCCTAATAAAAACCAAAGTTATCTGGCAAACAAGGAAAAAGGCAAAACGGTAACTTTCGCTTCGGAAAAGAATGCCGTCGATTTCGGGTCGAAATACGGGTGCGGGACATACGTCACTTACGCGGACTACTATGAGAGAATATGTTCTGAAATAAGATTACGATAATTACTAAAGTATGAGCTCATTAGTGTGTGTGTGTGTGTGTGTGTGTGTGTGTGTGTGTGTGCGTGCGCGTGCGCGTGCGCAAGTGTGCGTGCAGCGTGTGCGGTGCCGTGTAGCTGTGTGCGCAGTGTGCGTTGTGCGCACGGTGTGCGTGTGCGTGTGCGTGTGCGTGTACGTGTGCGCGCGTGTGTGTGTAAAAAGAGAGAGGGGAGGAGAGAGAGTGGGTGGTAGAGATAATAATAATAGAATAGATAAGATCAAAAGCTAATAGTACATTACTGTTATTAGCTCTTGTATATTATTAGCTCTTGATATGATACATTTGACAGAATAATTGAATGGCTGAGTAGGTTTGGTGGTTGAGTACGTACACATATTAACATGAATAAATTCATAGGAAAAGAAATAGCCTAAGCCAACAATTAATTAAGTAAAAAATGAAGTTAGTATATAAATAAATAAAATTGATATATAAATAGATAGATAGATAGATAGATAGACATATGGATGGATGGATGGAATGATGGATGTAAGGATGGATAGATGGATAGATATGTGGATCGATTGATCGATCGATCAATCGATCGCTTGATGGATTGATTAATAGATGGATGGATGGATGAATGGATAGATAGAGGGATGGATGGATAAATGGATGGATGGATGGGTGATAAATTGGTGGTAGATTGATGAGTAGATTGGTGGGTGGATAGATGGATAAATTGAAGGGTGGATGAATGGATGGATAAATAGGATGGATGGGTGGATGGATCGATCGATCGATCAAAGACTTGAATTATTGATTAATTAATGGATGGATAAATGGATGGATGGATAAATGTATGAATTGGTAAATGGATGGATGGATGGATAAATGGATGGATGGATAAATGTATGAAAATGGTAAAATGCGTATTGGATGGATGGATTAAATGGATGGAATGATAAATGGATGAATAGGATAATGGGTTTAAGGATGGCATGGATGGATGGGATGAATGGAATGGATGGATGGATGGATGGATGGATGGAGTGGATGGATGGATGGATGGATGGAAATGGATGGATAGATTGGATGGATGGATGGATGGATGAATGGATGGATGGATGGAATGGATGAATGGATGGATGGATGGATGGATAGAGGGAATGGAATGGATGGATGGATGGATGGATGATTGATGGAAAGGAATGGATGGATGATGGATGGATGGATGATGGATGGATGATGGATGGATGGATGTGATGGATGGATTGATGGAATGGATGATGGATAATGGATAGATGGATGAATGGATGGATGGAAATGGATGGATGGATGGATGATGGGATGGATGGATGGAAATGGATGGATGGATGGATGGATGGATGGATGGATGGATGGTATGGATGGAATGGATGGATGTGATGGATAGATTGGATAAGATTGGATGGATGGATGGAGTGGTATGGATGGATGGATGGATGGATGATGAATGGATGGAATGGATGGATAGGATGTATGGATGGATGGATGAATGGATGGATGGATGGATGGATGGATGGATGGATGGATGGATGGAATGGATGGATGGATGGATGGAACTGGATGGATTGGATGATGGAATGGATGGATGGATGGAATGGATGGATGGGGATGATGGATGCGACTGGATGGATGGATAGGATGGATGATGGATGATGGATAAATGGATGGAGAGATGGATAAATATATGGATAAATAGATAGGTGGATAAATGGATGGATGGATGGATAGATGGATTGATAGATTTATGGATTGATTGATGGATGGATTTATGGATGGATAGATGGATAAATTGAAGGATGGGTGGATGGATGGGATCGATTGATGGATGAATGGATAGATGGATAAATTGAAGGATGGGTGGATGGATGGATAGATTGATGGATGAATGGATGTATGGATTCATGGATGGATGTATGGATAAATGGATGGATGGATGGATAGATGGATGGATGAATGGATGGATGGATTGATGGATGGATAGATCGATAGATAGATCAATCGATCGATCAATAGATAGATGGATCGATGAATGGTTGGATGGATCGTTTCAGAGTGCTCGTGAAGTGTATATACCTCGATTATGCTGCCTCCAACTAGCTGCACGAGCAGAGCTAGGACGATGTTCAATGATCCGAAAAATAGCGCTAAAATGTCAAAGAATAGTTTAGAACGAAGAGTTTAGTTTATAGTTGTAGTTTTTAGCTACAGTTAATGATAGGTTCATAGTTCTATTTATAGTTATTGTTATGGTTATGGTTCTAGTTGTGATACGTTATATATGTATATATATATACTATATATATGAAATACATAAATGAAAATAAATAAATAATATATAATGTATATATATTATATATATATATAATAATGTGTGTGTGTGTGTGTGTTGTGTGTGTGTGTGTGGTGTGTGTGTGTGTGTGTGTGTGTATGTGTGTGTAATGTTGTGTGTGTGGTGTGTGTGTGTGTGGGTGTCGTGGTATGTGTGTGGTGTGTGCGTGCGTGTGCGCGCGCGCGTGCGTGCGTAGCGTGCAGTGCGTGGCCGTGCGTGCGTGCGTGTATGTGTGTGTGTGTGTTTTTGTGTGGTGTTGTGTGTGTGTGTGTGTGGTGCTGTGTGTGTGTGTGTGTCCACCCAATGCACCTTCGAACGCATGTAGCCGCTAACAGTGATTCGTCCAGCCGTCTCCCATGCCGAATAGCCGTAAGAATTGTTTCGCCAGGTCTTCTACGGACGACGCGCCGATAGAGAGTTAAACCCCGTGACGACACGTGCTGTGTGAATATTAAACGAACACAGTATTGTTATCACGGTCTGGGCGGCTGTCTGATACCTAGCTCTAGAAACCTGAAGGTTGCAAGCATTGTGGCATACATGGCCAATAGCTTTAACCCGAAGCCCAATCGGCCTGTAAGCAACCAAGAAAAGACTGGACCAAAGGCTTAACCCCGTGGGCGCATCACGTTAATTTACGCTGCGATAAACGAAGAGCCATGCACAACACGTCTAATGTATATTATAACTGCGCACGTCGTAGCATATAATTTGTATCAAACATATATATGTATTAATTGTATACTAACGCAAATAATCAATAATATTAAATACACTATAGCTAGAGAGAGAGAGAGAGAGAGAGAGAGAGAGAGATGTTGAAAAACCTGAGTGCAGCCGAGAAGCAGGAAGCGACAAAAAGACCGGGAAGTCCGCGGACAAAACCCAGCGTGTCCAGAACAAAATACGGCACCAACTAGAACAAAAGATGAATCATTCAATCATTAACAAATTATTGATTTTAAAATCTATTGATGCGCATAGTAAAGTCGTCATTGATTTATAGATCTTGCTTTTTAATTATTAGATTCCCGGCAAACCGGCAGTGGTCTCCTATGTAACGCCAGTTTGCTAACCTTAACTCCGAAATCGTCTTGTCCTTTAAATTTAAACAATATTGTTTACATATCTGACGTTGTAATTTGGACCTGGAATTATTTCATAATCGGACATGATGTTCACAGGATTAGAACACAGTGCGAGTATCACTAACAGATTTTCAGAAGCAATGATTACATAAGAAACGTATAATATAGAGATAGAGTAATAATATATAATATAATATCAGAAGTCGATCAATATTAATAGACTCCTGATAACATGTATGATAAGTATTATAGTATATAATATAGAGTCTCTATATTGTACAGTGCTGATAACATTACATCAGCACCCGTCCTCGTCAAACTACGAACGACAAGAGAGACACACTAGATTTAGAAATACAATGTTTTACAGCTGACTGCAGGGTCTATACCAAACTTGAGTTATACCAGATTTGAGGTATAGAATCGTCATGTTTAGTAGACAATTGAAGGGTTGACAGGTAAAATTTGAGGTGTGATTATTAGGAGTTGCGCTCAATCGTTATAAGTTGACTTACTACTCTCTGTTGATTTTATTGTGTGAATGCAGTGCCAGAGATGTAACTGCGGATTCGACAGAGCAATAAAGATCGTGAAAAACAGTCGATGTGCACACAACGAAGTACGCGCAATGCGATAAGTAGAAGCACATATTATGTTGACATAATCCAGCGGCCTGAGCAATACAGATTAACCAAAGATGAACTCATATGTGTGTTGGTGCGCTCTTATACGCGCATGCGCGTCATGCACGTGCGTGCGTGCGTGCGTGAGGGTAAGTGTTCGTGTGCACACATTACCTGGTCTTTTTTGTCGATGTTATGCGAGAGCATTGGATCACAGTCGTGGTACTTAGCGTAGGCCGCCAAGCCCATGAGCATAAGAAGCACTGTCGCTAATGTCCATAATGGGATATTCAGCCAAAGCGCACTGCAGAAAGTAGAATATATCTATAACAACTCAGCGCAGCATGTCAAATACTTACTCTTTGTTACAGGCGTGGATTCAGAGGCGGTGAGGAGAGAGAAAGGGTTGGGGATAATGGGGAGATATAGTAAAGGGAGGAAGAGGGGTAGGCTGAAGAGAGATGAAGATGTAAATAGAGAGAGAGGGAGGGCGCGAGGGAGAGGGAGAGAGAGAGAGAGTGTGTGTGTGAGAGAGAGAGAGAGAGAGAGAGAGAGAGAGAGCGAGACGAAGAGTGAGAGAGTGTGTGTGTGAGAAAGAGAGAGAGAGAGAGAGAGAGAGAGAGAGAGAGAGAGAGAGAGAGAGAGAGAGAGAGAGAGAGGGAGCTGAGAGCTTCTGAGAGTGGAATCAAGGCAGCTACGTTATCTGTATAGCTGCAATCACGGTTACATGGGTAACTGCTATTACAGTGAATGAAATATTAGATATTTAGAGAAGCATGGATTGCTAGAGCAGCCCTCTTACATAAATTGTTGCTTATATATATATATATACATACATATTGGTATGTCTGCACTTTTCGTTACATAAACATGCACATATTGACGGCTGTGTCTTCTTTCAGCCTGTATACTTACTACTTATGTATAATTACTACTGTATATTTACTACTTATGTATACTTACTACTGTATACTTACTACTTTGCTCGCTTGACAGTTCTGATACTGAGATATCGCTGCACCGTTGCCTGGTTAGTAGCGTATGTCGTGAGAGCAACAAAGGCGCCCCCTATGATCACGCTCCAAAACGTAGTGCGCGTAGTTGGGTCTGGATCCATACTGAAATACGCGTGGCATTCTGTGGTTGTCGGACGTATACGTGTACTACCGCATGCCCGCATTCACGTACGTCCGCGAGTACGCAAGAGCGCGCATGCATGTGACCGCGCATTAAATGAGTTTTAACACGTCGTAACGAGAATTAACAAGACTATCGTGAACGAATCCCGATTGTATCGCAATGATCAGGTCTGAACCATTGACTAACCGAAGAATACCAGGATCAGTGACCATATTAAGCGAGCCGTGGTACAATATTTATTTCCAGTAAAATTAATTTTAATAGTTCTTAATTAATGTTATCAGTGCGAAAATACATCCACTCACTTGCTATCGTCATCTGATTTATTTCTTTATTAAGGCAACACCAGATTCAATTATTTTTGACAGGATAAAATGATTAGTGTTGCGCCTGAAGGTTAAGTTGAACACGTTTCAAGCATGGTCACGATTATCGGCTACTTTTAGTACGCGCCTGTCAGCACTCACTTAAAAAAGATAAGACGCCCTCCCTCGTTAGAGATGCGAAAAACTTCGCCTGTGCCGCCGATGTCAACGGTTGCTTTCACAATAACGACGAGCAGCCCGACGAAGATGACTAGCATCTGAAAAGTGTCTGTCCATATGACCGCCTTCATTCCACCCTGCAGCAAACGATATGTGTATTAGATCTGTTCGCATCCTCGACACAATAAGTGCCCCCCGTCACCATGACAACACCGCGCTCACGTCACCATGGCAACGGCGCATTAACTACAGCTTGCAGCAGCGGCATTCGCACGTGAACATGGAAACGCGGCACACGCGCCACCACACAACAACGAGCGCGCGTCACCATGGCAATATGATGCCCGCGTCAGGGGATGCTACCGTTTAGTTTATTTGCAAGATAGTGTCGCTACTGTGTAAAATAGAATATAAGATTCCTGCTGGTCCCGGATGTTGATATAGTCAATGGGCGACAGCGTAATGTGTACTAAAGATTGATAAACACATATTCAGACACACTCTTTCTCTCTCTTTCCGTCTCTTTCGAATTCCTCTCTGTCACACACACCCACACACACACACACACACACACACACACACACACACACACACAGTGTGTGTGTGTGTGTGTGTGTGTGTGTGTGTGTGTGTGTGTGTGTGTGTGTGTGTGTGTGTGTGTGTGTGTGTGTGTGTGTGTGTGTGTGTGACACACACACACACACACACACACACACACACACACACACACACACACATATATATATATATATACGCCTATAGCTCACGTGTTAGCTCGTGGGAAGCAATTTAATTACGAGTTAAATCCAAAATTATTACCGACGGACGCGGTGACTTATGATAATATATTATACTCGCGTTGGCGCGCGCGAGACAGACTTTACAGACTTTACGACCCTGTTATGTTATTACGGCGAATAAAACATCTTACGCTAAAAATATCTCTTTACGTGGAGAATTTTGAAGACTCGCAGACGCCTAGTACTCTGACTAAACACTTAACGAATCCACGTGGTCCAACATTCGCGTGTGTGCGTGCATGTGTGTGTGTGTGTGTGTGTGTGTGTGTGTGTGTGTGTGTGTGTGTGTGTGTGTGTGTGTGTGTGTGTGTGTGTGTGTGTGTGTGTGTGTGT